AAAAAAAAAAAAAAAAGAAAAGAAAAGAATTTATAGTCTTACTGCTGGTTTGTTAGATTACTTAGGGTAAAAAAAATGCATCTCAAGTACATTTATAGTTTTAATGCAGTAATAATTAAAATCCCAATAGAGATACTTTTAAAATTCAACAAAGAAATTACAAAAAAAAGATTTTATAAAGCAAGCAATCAAGTCAGCTACTAGTTTTAATTTAATAATGAATAATATCAATACTGAGTCATGTGGTTTAAAAAATAGAAGGCAGAAATAAGCCCTTATGATAAAATATGAGAGGAATATGAGTTATTGTTCAATGGAAAGTTCAAGGAAAAGTAGGTATCAACAAGCAAAAAATAATATAGAGCCATATTTGAAATTTATGTTAAAAGGAATTCTAGATAAGCTGAATTAAACAAAAAATAGGACTGAGAGGCTTAATCAATTGGATAGTTTTTTTTTTTTAATTGCATGATGCACTTGTACACATACAAATTAAGACAAAAAGAAAAGCTGCAGACTGGGAAAGATTTTGTGGTAAATGTAACTAGCACATGTGAGGAACTAATAAAGTTATTGAACAATACCAGTCTTCACCAAGAAAATGGCCAAAGGGAAAAAATCTAATATTAAAAATTATACACCAAAATCAAGCTACTACCAAGCCTAATCAAATAATAAAATTAAATTTAGAAAAAAGTAAATGTTAGTAAGGTGGTAGAAAATCAGATACAATCATATTACTGACAGCTTTTTGATTCGCAGCCATCTGGCTATTATAGTAAATACCCTAATACTTTATTTTATTCCAAGAATTATTTTTAAGATATAAGGGAATGATTTTAAAATATATTTTTACAAACACAGTTTTATGAGGGGAAAAATAGATTAAAACATTCAATTATTCATAAACTGCTAAGCAGATAAAAGTATGCTAATAAAATACAACTTATGCTTATTAATTTTCTTTCCCTTTACCCATATAGATATGAGATTTAAAAAGCTGCATGTGAAAACTTTAAGTGAAGATGTAACATCCTAGAATATACACATTTGTTCATTGAGATCCATTCAACTATTATTTCATTCCAATTATTTTTTGTTTGTTTTTTTGTTTTATATCCATCAGAGTTTACTTGATAAAGAAGACATTTCTTTTTTTTTTTTCCTTTTTTGAGACAGGGTCGTACTCTATCACCCAGGCTGGAATGCAGTGTCATGATCACAGCTCACTGCAGCCTCAGTCTCCTAGGTTCAAGTGATCTTCTCATCTCGGCCTCCTGAGTAACTAAGACTACATGTGTGCACTAACACACCTGGCTAATTTTTGTATGTTTTGCAGAGATAAGATCTCACTATGTTGCTCAGGCTGGTCTTACAGTCCTGGGCTCAAGCAATCCGCCCACATCGGCCTCCCAGAGTGCTGGGATTACAGGCATGAGACACCACATTCAACCCATTCTTCTGATCTGTCAGCAACTATGCATTAGACTGCAGATGCTGAGCATCAAAAGGTTGAATCTCTACCTTTATGGAACTCACAGTTGAGTATATATTGATAACAATTCTGTAAAGATTAAAAGTCCTATGAAGAGATTTTCTAAGTACTATATACTGACTTGAATATCCTATTTAGCTTCCTACAATAAATTAATATTGAAATTTGAGTGGCTATGGTCAAATCATGATACAGACATGTGGAAAACATAATGGTTCCTTAGACACAATTGTTTCATATTTGTTGTGACAGAAGAGATATAACACTTTTCTGGATAAGTACTGTGAATCATTTTCTGTCCTGAACTGTTTTTTCCGCCCACCTTCTATGTAGTTAACCTTTTAACATTATACTCTTTCATATTCAGTTCTTTGTTTATTGTGCAGAGATATTTTCCCTATGTCTTCAAATTTCTTATCTCTGGAATATTTTAGCCATTTCTGAAACTCCTCTAAGAATGTATGGTTCACAACACACAACAGCAATCTGAAGGTGATATTATAGAATTAAAGTAGACTTAATGATAGTGAAAGGACATCAAACTAATAGTCAATATTTTAGTGTTCTGGTTTCGCTTTTGGATTTTATTCCAAAACTTTCAGTGGTACACATTCACATTATTCTACAATGTTCCACTGTGATGAGAAAAAAATAATCACTGGCTATGCTTTTAAAGAGCAATAATACGTTTCCTTGTAACTACATCTGTAGATAACTTTTAATTACTTTTTAAAAATAACATTCTTTAAAATGATATATTTCTGGATTCTAAATATGAAAACCTCATAAAAAAGACAACTTTTCTGCATTATAACCAAACTAAACAATACTAAATTTTTACATAAATTATGTATCCACATATGCACAGCAAGTTATATGCACATTTTACTTGACACTGAGAAAAACCACAAAGTGAAAAAGATACTAATTAGATTTTCGAAGGGGAGGGAGATTTTATCTTAAAAACACAGGCAACCATTTTTGGTTTATTGTACCTTAATAAAAGCAAAATTTTACCTGTGCAAGCATGGGGAAGCCAAGATTCCTACATCCATTACACGGAGTTAGTGCTTCCCAAAGTCCTGATGGCCCACATGTGTTTTCAACATCATCCTCCTCTTCCACTTCTCCTGGTGACAAATTTATTGTAGATGAGGTTCTCTGAAATTAAATTTATATCATACCAATATATTATATCAATGATATTTAGATAGCTTAACATCAGTTAATTCTATAAATGACATATAGTATATCTTGGCAAACAGGTCAGCTTACTTCTAGCCATAGTTACATGGCTGTGCCCTGTGACTGAGCCAAAAATATGTATAGTTCAACTTAAGTTAAAAGCAAAACAACTGGGTGTGAAAGGCGTACAAAATAGCATATGAAGTTCATAATGAAGACTAGAACACAATATTGATCTAATAAAATATTTGAAAAGCAACAAATGAGAAAAATCTTATGGTTTATCAAGAATTTAGGTTTAGACATAAAATTAAGGAAAAATGCAGTCAGGGCACTAATAGGAAAATATTTTATTGAAACAGGAATTGCTGAAAACCCTGTTTTTTCAGCATGCTGCTGAAACAAAACTTCATGAAATTTTGTATCATACATATAACAGGGGTAACAGTTTTAAAATTCATAATTGCAGCCAGGCGCGGTGGCTCACGCCTGTAATCCCAGCACTTTGGGAGGCCGAGGCGGGTGGATCACGAGGTCAAGAGATCGAGAGCATCCTGGTCAACATGGTGAAACCCCGTCTCTACTAAAAATACAAAAAATTAGCTGGGCATGGTGGCACGTGCCTGTAATCCCAGCTACTCAGGAGGCTGAGGCAGGAGAATTGCCTGAACCCAGGAGGCGGAGGTTGCGGTGAGCCGAGATCGTGCCATTGCACTCCAGCCTGGGTAACAAGAGCGAAACTCCGTCTCAAAAATAAAATAAAATAAAATAAAATTCATAATTGCAACTTCCATATTTAGCACATATATTTTCCTTTGTTATCTTTCAAATCTCACTAAAATGATGGTAGAACATTTACAAAAATGTTTACATCATAAAAATAAGGATGACAGGAGAGATGAACAGAAAATATTAAGAAAAGTTTTGGATAATATTGGGTAACAGATGGGTAAGTATTAATTGACTTAGCAAATATGAAAACACTGAAAGCAAACTACCTTCCTGTGGAAAGAATAGGAGGGACTGGCTACCTTCGAAGTTATAGATGTAGGTGGGGCAGACACTGAATGAAACTTAGTATCAGAAAGAATTAGACCCCTAAACCCATTTCCTTTTCACCCAGCCAGAAAACTAAATCTTCACCACTGGCAAGAAATTAGAGGATTATTTTTCTGGAGAAGTTGAAGCAAAAGGATTATGAATTCTAAGAATACAGATACACTGAATCTCCAAAAACAAGAAAATTACTATCTATATAGTAATGAAGATTCATAACCTACCAGTGATATTTGTGTTAGGCCACATGGCAGCAAAGTTTATACTCCTCAGATAAACAACTAGAATACTTCTCTTTGTAGAAACAGACGTCCCAAGAAAAAAAAAAATCTATTAATAAGCAGGAAAATGGTGGGATCTATGTATTAATCTCTACTGTGAAGCCAACCTCTCAGCAAGCGCCACTAATGAGAACCCTATATTTGAGAAAAGCCCCCAAGACACCAAAATAAAGAGAAATAAGTTACAAATAGTATCCTCAGAGAGAAAATATTTGCAGCCATGAAACAAGAACAGAAAGTTACAAAATACATAAAGTCCAATATAACAGTTAGAAAATCTGAGAAAATTTCCCAAAAGATAAACAGAATTTAAAAGTGGAGAAAAAGAGGGGTCAAACCAAAACCGGTTACATCTGAATAACAGGAGTTCAAAAAACAGGGTAAAGATGGGGGAGTCAAAGAAATAAAGCAAGAAAATTTATAGAAACTGAAGAAAAAACTTATATTCTAAGAGCTTGCTAAATACTTAGCAGACTGAACATGTTTTAAAAAACAAGATGTAGATGCATAAATAAAAAGAAATAAATTGTCAAGACCCTCTGAATGTAGTATTCAGCACAACACTGATAGATCACAATTACTAAAGCAAGTAAATATATTCTACATGTTGGATTGTAAATAGCATCCCCCCTACAAAAAAAAAAAAACTATTGCTTTTAAAAATAGAATATAAGATTTTATTTTTCCTCCTATTTAAAAGAATTTGTTTTCTGCATTCACATTTTAACTTTCCCTTGATCACTTGTCAGTAACTAAGAAATAATGAAATTCAGTAATCTCCCAATCAGTCACTATCTGTAAAATAAGATAATAACTGTTAGACTGAAAACTTACTATGTGACCTGGAGTATCACTGCCCTGTTCATCTGTCAATTATTTCAATTCACACGACAGCCATTTGAGGCAAATATTTTTCCTCTCACTCTATAAATGAGGAAACTAAGGCACAGAGAGGTCAAGTAAAACTCATGGTCACGAAGCTGGCATATGGCAGAAAAAGGATTCTAACGCAGACTAAGAGGCTGCAAAGCCTACTCTCCCCTCACCAGTATGTTCTGTGATCTTTCCTTTGGCACAATACCCTATAAAAAACAATGTACTGAAAAAACACTGATGTAAACAAATGCAGTTTAAATAAAAGAGGTATATTTGGTTAATATGTTTCTGTTACATTAGTATACTCCTGAGAGCATTTTCCCATCTGTGACAGGGAGTGTAAATTACTGCAATTTGATACACAGCAGCCCATGCTTTCATAAATACGCATTTCTCAAATCTATAATAGAAGGTGATTACACAGGGATTTTTGATCCTACAGATCCTTTGAGTAAACAACAACAAAAAAATATTGGGAAGTTTAAAATCTTAATCTGAAAGAGCATATATATATATACACATATATATTTGATAAAGCTGTTCACAGGAATAAATAAAATGATCAAAAAGGCATCTCCTTTACCAACTCAAGATCACTAACAGTTTGATCATCAACAGTTTATAGACATGGCACATACTATAAACCACCACATATTTGGCCAAGAATTATCAACATTTCAGATTAATCTATTCTTTTCCATTTTGTTAATGGTGCTACAATGATTTAATCCAATCACACAGGGAACTTCCTCCATCTCTTTCTCCTCCCTAAAAAAAAAAAAAAGTTTGTTTCCCTTCTCTGCTCCTAAAGCTCCAACTATTTCCCATTTCATAACAAATGATATCCAAATTCCTTAATCTGTCTTCAAGGTTCTATAGTCAAATGAATTTTTAGCCCTTTTACTTTTCCACTATACTCACCTCAGATTATAACCAAGTGGAATTGTTTACCCTTGCCTAATCATGCCGTATGCTTTTATTCTTTCTTTCACCTTACTTGTCTGCACAGCATATTGTAGTGATTAAGGGTTTGGGTTCTAAATTAGACAGTTTTCAAGTTAGACAGGATTCAAGTACCAACTACCCCCCCTCACTAGCTGTACGATTTTCAGCAGGCAAGACCACTGTCAGCCTCGTTTGGCTTATCTATACAATGGAAAACAATATAGTAGAACCCCTCTCACGGCTTTTTCCTGATGACTAAGTGAGGGAATAAATATAAAGTGCCTGACACACACGGCTTCAGTAAGTATTAACTATCATGTTTATTATTTTCTTATAATCCCACTGATTCAAAATAGAGTTCAGATTTCATCCCTTATATAAAATTTTCAGATTTCCCACAAACACGTGTGATGTCACATTCTTCTGCTTGTCTCTAGCTCTTTCTGCAAGTGTTTGCAATATGGTATTTCACATACACCTCGAGTTGAAAGATGGGATAGTGGCAAAAAGCATTGGTTTTTAACTCAAACAGATACACATTTAAATCCTAGCTCTACCACTTCCAAGCTTTGTGACTTTGAGCAAATCACATAATCTTATTAATCCTTAGTTTCCCTATCTGCAAAAATAGTGTAATAATTTCTATTTTCAGGGCTGGATGAAGATAAAATTAATTGCTTGACAGAGATTGGCACATAAAAAAATCAATATGTACTGCTATTTTTTTTTACCCTAAAAGAGTTGTGTAGACACACAGTGTGTTTGTGCAAATATAGTATACAGACACACACAAGTGTGGCCTATTTGCCTTCATTATTTCTCAATGTTATTTGAAAGAAAACATTGCCTTATTCACATTGTATCTCCTATAATGTGTTGTGCATAATGAAACAATAAATATTTATTGCATGAATCACTGAATAAATGAGCTTCAAATTACCATTTTCATTTGGCTACCTACAAAATTTTACTAATATTAAGTGGTATGTATAATTTTATCACAAATATTAAGATTGTCATTTTAGTTTTATATTAACCATTACCAGTAGCTTTAGCAGAAATGAAGAAACTTATCAGTGGTTTAGCACTGCCCCCTAAAGACAGCATATAAACTGGCTGTGTAAAACCATAATTTTTCACTTCATTTCTTTACAATTAAAGATTTGAAGGAAAAGGTTTATCAAACTACATATAATTTTCAATTATATATGGGAAGAAGCCACCTGAATACACTTAATCTCAGATGGTTTCCTTTATTCCAAATGCCATTCAAACATTTTACTGGAGATCCAACTGTATTCCTGAAGTTCCAGAAAAATGTGAAAATTATATTATGAAAAACAGACCTAAATCTATATAGTTTGAACCCATTAGCTTTCTTGGTTATTACCTGGTAATAAAGACTGGACCAATTCTATATTGCTGCAAATTGAAAAACAGTCAAAATAAAATACTATGGGGAGACAAACTTGAGCTCAATCAAAGGAAAACACTTTTGAGAATAATATCAGTCTAACATTGAAGAAATGGGATTTCCCTGTGAGGCTGTGTGTGTGTGTGTGTGTGTGTGTTTAAATTATATGACAAGTATATATAACGGTCCTTCCTAATTTATAAAATGCTTTAAGATATAGAATAGCCCAATAAAATAGAGTAAGAATCATCCCTATTTTACAAGTGAAAAATTGATGCTCAAAATGTTACTCTATTTGCAAGATCATCCTACAAATGAATCCAGATTATAATCCAAGTATTCTAGTTCTAGGTCCTATTGTCTTTCTCCCACATCATGGAAGCCACCTCCTTAATTATGAGAAC